TAGCAGAAACAATCTCGTCAATAAGTCGACTCTTCGATCGAAACAGAGACGGCGCATCGGCCGTGGCAAACGTCAAGTGGTAGCGTTGCCGAAACTTGCGTGTACGGGCCCACGGCACCTTACGCAACAAAGATACCTCAATGGCGCCGCTTGGCCCGCACTATCGTGGGCAAAGTCAAGTTTATCGACGTGGAACCCATCCACAGCATGCGAGGAGTCCACAGGAAAAGTTTTCTGTCGGTCTTTGACGGGTAGCTTTAGCGAGATGCCAGTCAGATTATCGATTGCACGAAACGACGCAAGGCCCAGGACCAGTTGTTGGTTGGACATATTCTTTCGGAGTTGCATGAGGGCAATCGATGCAGAGTCGACGTTGGCTTGATGGTTGTCAAAGAGCACGACATTCAAGGTCTTGCCCTCGTCGATCTGCTCGGTGATCGCGCCAGTCGGGATACGGAAATATCCAACGATGTCGCGTTCGAGTCGCGGCGAAGAGGCTCGAAGGCATCGAATAGTTCACCGCCACTGGCGGTCCCGGTGGCCAGAAGATCCAAGACGGGCTGCAGCTCAGCCATCGTGGGTCGGTAGTATCCGATGTCGCTCTTCGACCGGATCGCGTCGTCTTGGCACCGTTGGTCGCTCTGGTACGACCACACGTCGTCGCCATCGTGGTCGGGAGCACCAGGGGCGCCAGGAGCGGAGGGAGCGCGTGGTGGAGAGGGCTCGGCCAGACGAGCAGCGTCCGCACGGGCAGCGTCCGCACGGGCACGCGCCGCAGCAAACGCGGAAATACGAGAACGTGCAGTGGTGGAGCTGCAAATGATATCTTATAAAGAGCAATAGCTGCAAAATATCTTAAATTTCAGCTTCCCTAGTAGTCTAGGCGGTTAGGATATCTCGCTCTCACCGAGGTGACCCGGGTTCGAGTCCCGGCTAGGGAGCTCTTTTCCATTTCTAACGCATCTCCCTTTTTCCCCAACATCCATCACCGAGTCCCTCCATTAAGATTTCAAGCACTCTGCAAAGCTACCTCACGCCTTCTCTATTCCACTGCGCCTTGCTCAATTCGATTCTCCGAAATTGACGTGCGCGTGTTGGCACAGTTAGGTAAATGCGCCGTCATTGTCGACGTGCAGCGTCGGCGATGTGTCGTACTCCTTGACCACGCCACCGTCAAGCACCAAGG